CACGGCGCAGAGGAGAGGTCTAGCCGGGGGTCGGATGGTGGTAAGCTGGAGCCTTCGGTTGTCTCTCCCCGGTCCCCTAGCTGGTTTGCCCGAACGGGATCTGTCGTTCCCGCGTGAACGGGATTCTCCAGTAGCCTCTGTGGTCAAGCGTGTTGTACTACCGATTTTTGGCGCAGATGATGCCGAGCGGTGGGCCGCCTTGCCGTACATCCGATCTGCGCCGGCGTTGAGTTCCTTCGTCCGGGTGGTGGTGTTCGGTGTGATAGTTCAGTAAAAACATCCTGCTCGAGCTTTTAGCTAATACCTTTTGACAGCGAGACTCCAAACCAAACCTTGGGGATTCTGACCAGGGTCTATTGCTCCTGCTGAAGACTCCCTTGTGGTGACGGTCGGCCTCATCTGCTGTCTTGCTACGCTCCAGTTAATCAACTTAATACAGGGGGCCTAGGTAGGTTCGGGAGTTCTCGTTCGGTATGGGCAACACCTGGTGGGTTTGAACAGGATTGTTGGTTGAAAATGGAGTATCTGTTGTTTGGTTGTGGGGCTTTTGCCATCTCAGGACGGTACAGGCCGTTCGGTCAAAGGATATGGCCATCGAACATCGCCCCACGGTGGCCTTAACTCCTCCGTTCAGTTGGAATACCCGTTCTCCCATTCAGCATTATTCTGATCCGCCACTACCGGAAAATAATCAGAGCTCTCCGCTTGCCCCGCCGCTGGTTCGGGCTATACCCGGATACAGAGCGTGCTGGTCCGGAAAATTGCGTTCGGGCCCTGCCATATTAAAGACGATTACCTATTCCCGGTTGATGTGCATGGTACACCATCTGCAGGTCCGAATGCCATCGATCTTTAGCTTGGACGTTCGGGGAGCTCCCGTTCGGCGTTCGGGAGGCGGTGTTTACTTTTGGATAAGGGTGACTCAATCACATCACCCACTTGTGTTTTGTTGTCACGCCTTGCACGTGAGGATAGATAGCTACGTACTCTTTGGATCAAGCTAAGCTAATGGGTGCATGGGCCCCACTTCATATCTTCCCAGTAGAATTACGTCCACCACTCCTGGCCTTCTAATCAATCACGCTGCTTAACTGGATGTGGAATTTCTTCAGTTTCTTCCATATTCGTTTCATCCACTTCTTTTTTCGTTGAAATCAGTCCATCTTCGTGTCAAGAACACGTAAATCTTTTAGAACCGTTTCCCACAGACGGCGCCAATGTTGAGGTTTTGTCCCGCAGATCCGGAAGCCCAACATAAACTTCGGATATTAAGGACGATGGATTCGGTATAAACATAAATAAAATATATATAAGGTGTATGAACTAGCTATTTTTACGTGGAAACCCGGAAAGGGAGAAAACCACGGGACTTTTTAGGCTAACGTCCAAGCCCGCTCTTTTTCATTAATATGCTCTCCTCACCAATTACATATTACAACTCTTGAACTCCATTAATGGAGGTATAAAGCTATCAATCAAAGGGGAAGAAGAAGTATGGAGGAGGAGAGCCAAAAGATCCTTTAATCACGAGGCTTGGCCTCCTATTTATAGAAGGGGAGGGGGGGGTTTTTAGGGCTATGCTAATGGGCCTTAATGGGCCAAAACAGGCCCAAGTAGGCCGAGTAGGCCTAACTGGCCCTAAATGGGCCCGAGGGGCTTAAACGGGCCTCGTCGAGTGGGCCCCGTACCGGGGTGGTGTATTGGGCCTCTGAACAGTAGTAAGCCGGGGTGACATACCCCAACACTATCTTTTATATTATTATTAGATTAATTATTCAAATTTATATGAATTTTTGTAACATTTATCAATATTTTTAAATTAATTAAAAAAACGTGATATTGCAGGTCAAAGGGTTTGGTTGATTGTATTTTACAAGTATCCATGCTTATATGATATTTTTTTAGTACAGGGGCTTAAGTGACGGATTGGAAGTAGTAGACCGGCTTATTTGATCCTTTTTCCGAAAATATAAAGACATAAGAGTCAAATGTGAAAAGTATATGAAAATATATTTTTTTGTTAAAAGTACTTTCATCAATGCGTAAAACTTATAAATTTTACACAAATGTAATAACTAAAAACATTATCTAAATTTATTATCATTAATTGATAAAAATTCAAATTCGGCAAATTTTGTGAGGTGTGGTGTATTAGAGCATCTCCAATGCTACAATGTGCACGATGCACATGTGGCATGAGAGATATAGACACAAAAGATTGATTTTATGACATTTCTCTTTCCGTCTTTCCACGGTCTTATGTATCTTTGGTAACTTTTTTTCTGCAATGTCAACCACAATGTCTACATCTAGACATTGTGCTTGACATTGTGAAGAAAAACTTACCAAAATAACATAAGATCATTCAAATAAGGAGATAGATATTTTATTTATTGTTTTTTTATTGGATATCTCTCATGCCACGTATGCACCGTTAACGTATTAGTATTGGAGATGCTCCTACATTACGGGAAATCGACTCATCAAAGTTCGGATTATTACACACAGTTGTTTTTTTGCCTGAACATGTAAGTCACACAAGTCCATTATTGACAAAAGTTCCATAAACAATATTCGTTCACAAGGGTCCATTGGGAATTATTATAAGTAGACCAAAAATAGTACTACCTCCGTCCCCCTAAGTTTGGGACAAGAGAAGGTGGCACGGTTATTAATAAAAGTGGATTTATGTGGTTTGTATTGAATTGATAAAGTAAGAATAAAGTAGGAATGATTTAGAACCACACAAACTTTACCAAATAAGGTATGAGACAATCTTAGTGGGACGGACCGAAAAGGTAAAACGGGACAATCATAGCGGGACGGAGGGAGTAGAATATTATTATCAACTTTTTCAAAATGAAGACCCCTTAGTAACCCTGTATTTCACCTTCTCAGCCAACTTTTTTCACTAAACACGTAACTTTTGATTACGCGCATTAAATTAGGTAATAATAAGAAAATCTAAAATTGCAATTATTTTTTTAATATTGACTGAAGTTATCATAGATGATCATTTCAACCGTTTTTTCATATATATTATTCTTTACTTTATTAATAAATACGTATTATATTTTAAATATAATTTTTTTCATAAATAAATAGAATAGATTAATCCAACATTTCACAAAGAACTTCATAAGTTTCATCAAAATTAATCAATAGAATAGATTTGAGTATTACCAAGGCTCTAAAAAACTTATACCAAGGTGGGCTGGTGGAGCTAAGAAGTAAGAAGTAAAAACAAGGGTAAAGGGGCAAAACAGCCCCTAGACTTGTCACTAAAGGGCATTCAAGCCCCTAAACTTATTTTTGGTGCAAAAATATGTTTATTCCATTAAAAGAAGGCAATATGCCCCTTCTGTAACGGAGAGTACACGGAGTACCTAACAGCCTGACAATTTGAGGTAAACTCAAATACACCACATACTCCCTCCGTATCAAATTACTTGACCCACTTTCCTTTTTTGGTGTATCAATTTAATTGACCCCTTTCCCTTTTTGGAAAGAATCTCACTCAAAAAGCAGCTACAGTACTGCTACAGTACCGCTACAGTGTCGCTACAGTACCAAAAACCTCTTACTTTTAATAAAGTCTACAGTAATTGTCTTAAACTGCGTGAAAAGCAAACGGGTCAATTAATTTGATACGGAGGGAGTATTATTTACGGAGTATATACTTTCTATTATAATCCGTATATAATTAATTTGTATTCATTTATTATTAATAATAATAAAAATCGGGCCTTAGCTTCCAGATTATTGTATAGTATATCTTTTCCACTTATCATACATCCTAAGAATGTTTTTATTTGGACTGAAATTTTCTGCTCTGGTCTTATTTGGTCTAGTCTGATATGATAAATGTTCGATCTCTGTGTATTTTATAACTATTTAAGTCTAATCTGGTCTGCTTTGGGGCTGAAAACATTTCAAGTAGAAACATCTTAATCTGTATACGTAGTAGTATAAAGAATTAAAAGTATACAAAAATATTTTATCTTCTATATCATACTCCCTCAGTCCCATTTTGTAAGATATATTTCCTATTTACTTGGTCAACACAAATAACTTTTTACGTAATATATATCAAATTTTTATCAAATTTGATATAAAAATTTATCAAATCAAATTTTTATCAAATTTGATTCCGGTTTTTGCGACTTTGTAAGGTAAGACTTTTAATGTAATTTCTGAATATGTAATTTTTTTTCTAAAAAAAATTTGTGTGCAGACAAAGATCTGTTTGCTTTATCGTCGGTCAAAGATCGTAAACTGTAAAGTATCTTACAATTCGGGACGGAGGGAGTAAAATATTATTTTGAAATAATTACATATTTATAACTAAAATAAAAATTGTTTATAAAAATGTGACAAGCGATTATGGTAGTAATTAAATCACAGTAACTTATATTCAAGTTTTAAACTGAAGTTAGCATGACACTAGATTGTACTAGTAGTAAATATTAGTCATATTTATGTAAATAAGTTTTATTTTAGCATTATTTTTGAAAAACTCCCTAATGTTTTTGCCCATTTTACTTATAGAAGATATATTGTGCAAATGGAGAAGATATACTTCGTATTATATACGGAGTATCATTTGGAAGAAATTTTATTATTTTCAATAATCTATTATTAAAATTAATTATAAACATATTATAAACAGAAAATAATGGACAAGAACCTTTAAGTGGGACAATTGTATAACTAATACTCCTTATAAAATAAAATTTCAGATAGTACTAACTAAAACAGATCAAATCAGACCAGACCTATTCAGATAAAAAAAACAGTCCAATCTACTCCAATCAAAAAAATCCTGAACACTATAATTCGACACTTAAGTTAGTTAATTTCTCACGCATTTATTTAAGACACGTTCTTACAAAGAAACATCATGATTATGAGCTTTAGTGACAATCGTAGGGGTGTTGCTACCCTTGCATCAAATTTTGAACACATGGCTGTTATCTATTCCACATTAACCGTTAGAGAAGGGGCAAATTGCCCTCTTTTTATGGAATAGACATATTTTTGCTTCAAAATTAAGTTTAGGGTCTTGGATGCCCTTTGGTAACAAGTCGGGGGTTTTGCCCCTTTTCCCTAAAAACAATTGTTCATATTCTTCATAACTCTGACCAAGCTTGATTCATCTAATCCTTTTCACTTACCTAACTAAAAAGTAGGGGTATAGAGTACGTAGTATCTCAGACCATAAAATTTTCACATTTGCTAAAGGCTAATGAGAAGGTGCAAAATATTGCTTAAATCACTGCAACTAAGAAGGATGTGATGAAACTTGCTCCCCAGAGAGACAAAGAGCAAGCTTTTCTCTTTGATTCCAAGCACTCTTGTTATTATGAGCCGCCTCCCAGTTCCTATTCCGGTAATCGGAGCCGTGATTTTGCGATAACAGAGCCTCCATTTGAATTTCATCATCCAAATCAATGAGTATATTGTGGAGAAGACAACAAACAAGTATGATCCTCGGCAACTTGTGCTTATCGGGCCTCCACACTGTTCCTTGAATGATCCTCCATTGATCCTTCAGCCTCGTCAAAGCCCGTCGCGCCACTTTCCTGGTTGCAGAATGGCGGCGATTGAACTCCGATTGGTGATGGAGAAGACGGCTCCGTCTCCGGTAAGGCGTGAGAAGCCAGGGCAAATGCGGAAATCCGGAATCCCCGACAATGTACTCTCGGATCTCGGTCCCGTCCACCAGCTTCAGCGCCTCGCCGTTCAGCCGCTTCCCTGCCTCCGCCAGTTTGAAGAACCTCGAGCACCGGAGAGTCTCGCCGTCGCTCAAACTCCCCGGCATGCCGGCGAAAACGTCGACGAATCTCATCGCCGGGTCCACGATCGCCTGAAGGATCATGCTATGCTGGTTGTTTTCTGAATCGCACCAGATCTGACCAAACGGGTCGGTTGAGGACTGACCGAAAGTGACGTGGGTCACGTCAATGGCCCCACAGCAGTTAGGCAGCCCCCGAATGCTTTCGAATTTGTCCTTTATACCCCTGATGTCCTCCGCCGTCGACGGCCACCGGAGATGGTGGAGCGCCCTCTCTTCCATGGCCTCCACGAACTGCCACGTGATCTGCCCGACGGCGGATTGGTGAATCCCGAGGGTGTCTCGGAGAACGGAGAGGGAGCCGCCGGAGCTCAGACGCGTTAGCGCCACCGCCACTCGATCGTTGAGGGAGAGACGGTGGCCGGAGAGATCTGTGAGGTTGACGTGTTTGTTCATCATCTCGTCTTTAACGAGTGAGCAGATGTAATTAAACGTCCTTCTGGAGAATTTGAAAACTGATTCAAAGGAGGAAACTCTGTCTTTTGAAGAGCCTGCAAAAAGTGCATGTTTCTGAGCCTCTGTAGTGATAAAGGAACCTCACACTGTAAACTGTAAAAATGTTTATCAACACAATAAATGTGTGCGCCGGATGAAACAAACGTCCAAAATAAACATCATTTTCATGAAACTCCTAATTAAAATTTTGGTTCTAATTGATCGAATTGACTTTGATTGAAGTGTTAAAGTGATTAATTATGCCAAAAAATTAGCCAAATTTCCATCAAATTGATTAATTTGTGGTTTTGTTCGTTTATCTCTTTTCCACAAAACTCAATTACATAATTTTTATTTTTCTTGTATCTCACTTAATTCAAATTTAACAAAGTTCAATGGAACGGAACTAATAGTTTATTACTCTCCCGTCTCATCTTACATGTCTTACATGTCTTACTTTTTTATATAGTTGTCTCAAAATAAGTGCCACAATTCTCTTTTTAGAAAGAAATATGTGATAAAATTATAAAGTTTTCATATTTTAAGTATGGGCCTCATATTGTTTTCAAGTATAATAAGATTTCTCTAAAAAAAAGGTATAATACGAGTAAGATTTTAAGTTTTTAAAATTATAAAGAAAAAAGATGAAGAACACATCCGACATGTTTCATTTCAGGAATTTAGTAACAGTAATTCCCTCAGAATATTTAACAAAGAAGCTATGTGAAAGTGAAACGAACTCATGACAAATACTGCGGTGTAAATTAAAAATGACATATTAGCGTTCTGCAAATCTGCTGCGAAACTAAAGAATTAGGTCCTGGGTGAAGTTTATAGATTTCATTTAGTTCAGTAGTTCTAGGCAAACCAGTGTATATAAACTTCCATTTACTATAAACATTTTTAGAGTATTCTTCCAGACAAATTAGCAATTGGATAGAGATCTTCAAAGTAAACTAAAACAGTTTGAAGATCACTCAAACTGTTTGAACTTTGAGAGTTGGGACCAATCTGTTCATTGTCTTCCTAAACCAATTCACCTTTATTCATAAAGGGAATGCAAATCATAAAGCGGTTAATACTTGAAGTCCGTCCAGCATATGCGGTTAATACATACTGTAATTACTTATGCAGAACTACTTGGTTTATAGCATTCAAACACCTAAAGAGCAATGACTAAAAGTACACCTTAATTTTTTCCTTATTGCTATTGAAACATTTAACAGTTCCAAGCAGTTGATCATTAACTAACACAAAGATTCATACCATTTGCTTATACTCAAGTTCTTAAACTAAAATGTGCATCTCCAATTCATCCTACATTGACTTCTCTGTTTCAAGTAAACCTTCTACAAACTCAAGACAAAACAGAATATGTCGGGTCTAGTTTCTACAGTTCCCAAGTACTAAACTTTCATATTTTTGGGTTGCAACCATTCAAAACAGAAATGTACCAGGAGCAGACAGGATTTGACTTCAATTTCTGCAATAAAACTAAATGCAATTCTATGAAAGTAAAGTAAAATCAAAGCATCTGTTACAAGACATATCATGCTTTGGTTTGTTTGCCTAGTGCAGAAAACAACAAACTCCAATATATACTCCAGGTGAGGCTATACAAGCCATGCTCCACATCAAGAATCCATATATAGTACTCAACTAGTCCACTCCCAAATAACATGATTCAGATTTCAGAACCTTCTTTAGTTCTTAAAAAGACTCATATAATTGGTCAAATGAAGCTAATATTTCACGAAATTTTCAATAAAAGAAAGTCTTCCACAAGTTGAATACCATAAATTATGTTAAACCAACAAACAGAGTTGATCCAAACCAATAACCATTACCAAAAAGTTATACACTTAAGTGTGGGAGGGGGTGGGGGCATGGGCGTGGAGGCCATGCCGAGTCCGACCCATTCAAAATTTGGTAAAAAGTTTTTTATGAGTAAAGTCGTTTGTGTAAAATATCATGTCAAAAATTCTCCTAGCTACGCATATTGAGGGGGGGGGGGGGGGGGGGGGGGTCTTACGAGAAGTCCCCAACTTCTTGATCCAAACTTCTTCAAAGACAGAGTTTTTTTCTTCTACTTTCTTCTATGTTCCTTCTCGCACAACTTCAAAATCGACGTTGAAGAACAGAAACCCAAAAACCGTCGGGATAAAATTCCATAAACCCACACTCCCAGCAAGAAATCATCAAGAAAAAAGTTGAAGGACAACAATACCGACAATGCCGTACCGCCCGTACGGACGTCGACAGAAAATCAAGAAAACGGCAAAACAAGAAAGAAGAGCATAAACATGGTCACATCGATAAGACCACAAGCACGGCGGCGGTGGCGGCGGGGTTGGGCTCTGAGGGAAGGGATGTGGGGGAGTGGGGCCCTACGGCCCCTACCGCCGTACGGTATATATACACATACAGAGTAGATATATATACATACATACCAGGGAGCCTGTGGGAGAAGTCATCCCACCAGTCAGAAGAGACCAAAGTCATGGGCTGTCGGAAAATGGTAGGGGCATTAAGGTCAAGATCTTTTTCCGGCTTCTTCTTCCTCTTCAAATCCCTGATGGGTCCCATTGAAGCTCCGGCTCCGGAAAGCTGTCCCGCCGACCCAGTAGATTCAGAGGTTTATAAAGATCCGAACTTTACAAGGAACCAAGCCGTTAAAGTTGAAAGGAAGAGAGGTGTGGGGCGGGGAATGGCGATGGGATTTATGGTGGAAGGGGCAAAATTGTTTCTCTCTTTTTCTTCTTTGTGGGTTTCTTTTCGGAGCATGCAGTGATGGGGTGCGTTTCGGTTTGTCAAAGAAACAAGCAAACGGCAGCGAGGAGAAATAAGAGCGATGTTAGTGAATTGCTCATTTGGCGGCCACTTTATCATTATTTCATCACTAATTACACCAGCTTTACATTCTTGTTTCTTTTGGTCACAAGAATTAACAAAACTTATTAGAAAAACTAAAAAATCTTACTTTATTGTATAGTTAATTCTTTTACTTTTATTGTTCATTAACAAGGAGGAGTATGAATAATAAATGGTAATTTACTTTTAGTTTTTTACCCAAAAAGGAAACAAGACCATCATTTTGGAACATCCCAAAAAGGGAATACAGGACCATCATTTTGGGACGGAGGAAGTACAAGTTTTCATGTTCGAAATTATAAAATCCCGTTTTACCTAGTTTTTTTTGTTTATCTTAGTTTTCTTTGTAAGATTTACTTATCATAGTTTTTTTAAAGGAAAACTACCATATATATTACTTCGTAAATCAAAACTCCCACTACAACCAGGAGAAATTGCAAACAATAACCGTAACCACCTGACGGCTGACGCTACCCTCCTTCTAAACAAACATAACCAAACCAACGTATCAAGGTGGAGGGCCGGTGTCGGACTCTAAATTCCCGATTTTGACTCCAAACAACACAAAACTCGAACCAACGTCTGGTAAACACAACTTGAGCTAAAGACTTGCAACACCTTAAAGCCAGGAAAAACATCAAAAGTCGATCCCAACACACATCAAATGTGTATTGTAATACAGACTTATCAAATAGCCATCCCATGTGACGGACTCATATCGCTGCATATTAAAGTTAGACGTAGATTTCGCCATTGTGTGCCTAATTTGTATGCATAAGATCATCATTTGTCGACCATCCCTGAAGGACCTAAGGTGTGTCATATCGAGTAGCACATTTGCATGAAGTTCTTTACTCTGAACGATGTCAGAGTGGCTCAAGGAGATCAGCGCATGGCGAGGAGGTGTTATTTGAAATCTTGCCAGCAGCTTAGTCAAAGGGATGTGTGGGTTCATACAATAAAAAGCAAAGCGATGAAGTATGAGGAGGGTCAGCTCCACATTAAACCCACCACAGAGGTCAAGGAAATCCAGATCAACTCTTATTTTCATTACAAAAAAATACCGACGAACAACGAAAAGGGCATACTAAAAAAAGAGAACTCGGAAGCTTATCTTAATATATCTTGGAGGGCTACCTCAACCTACTCACTGATCGAAAAATCATCCAGAAGATCGGTCGAGTAGCGCTCGACGATCCCTGACTAGAGATGGATGATAAAGTCTATTGTCCCCATCAGGACCTTGCCCAGAGCTCTCCAATGGGATCCCTTGGCCAAGGACCGATCTTCGGCACCTAGTTCCCTCAGATGATCTTTTGATTGAGCTCGCCACTTCCTTCCCGGATTGTGACCTTCGATTTCATATGAAGACCGACTCATCATCGCCTTTTCATCATATGTTGGATCGACTTCTCATTGTTGTCATCTTCACATCATGATTGGACCCTCGGCTACGACGTGATTATATATCTCAAGACCGACTCCCAATGTTGGGCTAACCACTACTCCCTTCCCGGATGGTGACCGTCGTCTTCATATGGCTTCTCGGATGGTGACCATCGTCTTCATATGGCGACTGACTCATCATCACCTTGTCATCATATTTTGGATAAGACTCATCAAGCCGTCACACTTATCTCAAGAATGGCTCACAACGGAATGTCTTGATATTGTGATTGGGCTCGCCATTCCCTTCCTGGATGGCGATTGCCTGCTTTATATGATGATCGGCTCATTATTGTCTGGGCATCATATCATTAATGGCCTCCTCAACGATGTCATGCCTATCTCAAGACCGGCCTCCAATGTTGAATGTCTTGATCTTGAGACCGGCCTCGACATTCCCTTCCCGAATGGAGACCGTCACCTTTCACTACTAGAATTTTCGTTATTTGCTGCTACCCATTTCTTGTGATTGTTAGTTAAAACGCAGCAAATATGCAAAATTAATAAGTATTTGCTGCGATTTTACTACGACCACAACAAATAGTTGGAAAATTTGATACTTTTTGCTGCGATCATATGAAAACCGCAGCAAATACTTATATTATTTTGAATTTTATTTTTATTTTACTTATTTTCTACGAGTAAGGGTGAACCGCATCACATACTATAAATTTCTCTCTTGTCTGCTGCGGTCAGAGGTGAAACCGCAGCAAATAAACCTTTAATGAATTTTGCTAGGGGTACACAATTTGTGTACACCCTTGGCACCCCATTTAAATACTCCCTATTTTTACCATCATTTACCCCCCAAATAATTCTGCCTCTCACAACCCTCCCTCCCTCCCTCCCCTGTGTAGAAGTCACGCCGCCAAAAAAATCGGAAGCCAAAAAAATCGGAAGCAGCGATTCGAGCAAACGACCGAAGAGAAGAGTGAGACATCCTTCATCTTCTCCGTTGGAACTCTTCTTCAATGGAGCTAACTGGGAATGATACATCCGAGTGGGTTGATGGGTTACTCTTGGATAACATGATTTTTGGAGAGCTAGGTGATCAAGGTGAAGATGATGGTCGTATGCCGGTTTCCGGCGAATTGGATGCGAGGTCGAGGGACGAAGATGAACAAGGTCCAAAGGTGGAAGGCTTGAGTATGTGTTGTTGTCTTGGTTTTGTTTTCTTGATTTTCTAGATTTTGTTTTGTTGATTTTTTGGTGTATTTGGGATATGAAAAGGGTTGTCTATCTATCAGAGTAGTTATAAGTGCAGTGTCTCTCTACTGAAACATAGTACGTTTGTTGTTTGACCCATATGTAAAATGTCTGCCTGACAGACAATGTAATTTGTTTGTCTATGTAGAAATAACGTCTGTATGGACATGCAGTGTGATTGGGCTCACACATTCCATAATAATCTGAATCCACCTTTCCGCAAAACCCATCTTTTGGAGAACCATCTCTAAATAATTCCAATCCACCCTATCATAAGCTTTGCTCATATCAAGTTTCAAAGCCACATACCCCTCCTTACCATCAGTCTTTCTTTTCAGAAAATGCCGAGTTTCGAATGCAACAATGATATTATCTGTTATAGACCTTCCTGGAATAAAAGCACTCTGACATTCCCTAACCAACCCATGCAGAATACCTTTCAATCTATTAGCCAGAATCTTAGAGAAAATTTATAGACCACATTGCATAAAGCAATGGGCCTCCAGTCCCCCATGCATTCAGGTTTATCCTTCTTAGGAATAAGAACAATATTAGTAGACTTTATGTGCTCAGCTAATTTACCTGATTCGAACCAACTGCTACAAAGAGCCGAGATATCAGGCCCTACCACATCCCAATATGCTTGAAAGAAAGTCGGGTTCATCCCATCAGCCCCTAGCGCTTTGTCCGGGTGCATGTCAAAGATAGCCCGCTTAACTTCCTCTGGCCGAATAGGCTCTAACAAAGCCTTGTTCTGATCTGCAGTGACTCGGCAAAAATCCCCTCGTATACTATAGCCACTGGCCACATCCCCTCTTTGAAAAATATCAGAAAAATAGTTCAAAACCGCCGCACTCAAATCCCCTCTATCGGAGATCCACACTCCATTCTGTCTACGTAGACCCTCCATCTTGTTCCTCCGTCTTCTTTGTTTCACCGCGTTATGAAAAAACCGGGAATTAATATCTCCTTCTTTTAGCCAGAACTCCTTAGCACGCTGTTGCCAAAAAAGATTTTCCTTCTCTAGCAGTGATTGAAGAACCGAACGAACACGAAGGAATTCATTGACACTGGCTCTATCATCTCGGTTTCGAAGCCACGCGAGCCTCCTTTTACAGGCCAGAATTTGATGCCGAAAACCGCTTCTTCTGCCTTTATCCCATCGAAGCAGTTCTGAACCACAAAAAGAGATGCGTTCATTAATATTTCTATTGGCTGCCGCCCCTCAACTTGTGGCCACAATTGTACGACAATCCTCCTCCTTGACCCAGCTATTCTCGAATTAAAACCGCCTTGCCTTTCTCGGTTCAGTCACTCGTCTCATCTCCATAAATAAAGACATATGGTCACTCACAGGAGCCTCCACCGACTTTGCTTGGGCTAACGCAAACATGTCCCACTAGTCATCATTAACGAGAAAACGATCAAGCTTTTCTTCCACCCAGTAATGTGTGTTTTTCCCTCTGCCCACGTCCACTGATATCCAGAGAAAGGAAAGTCTCGCAAACCACAACTATGCACAGCCTCTCTAAATCCCCGGATTCTCCAAAGTGGGTGAGGGATGCTCCCTTTTTTCTCCGAATCATAAAGGATGTCGTTGAAATCCCCAACCATCATCCATGGCCCCCCTCGCGCCTCAGCCAGTTCTTCCATTAAAGCCCAAGACTCTCTCTTCCTCCTAGTGTCTGGTTGGCCGTAAAAACCCGTCAACCTCCACGAGGAACCATCCGCCTTGATTACCACATTACAGTCAACAAAGGTGTCCTCAGTTTGATGTATTATCAGTTCAACATCATCCTTCCATGCCAAGATCAGACCTCCACTTAGTCCCAGACTATCCGAGCCACAAGCTTCGTAAAAACCCTGATTGCGCATAATTCCTTTCGCCCTCTGACAGCGAATCTTTGTCTCCATCAAGAAGACAATAGAAGGCTTGTGCTCCGTCAAAAGGTCGGCCAGACATTGCTTTGTGGCCGGATTATCAAGCCCTTTACAATTCCAACTCAATATACTCATATTACCTTGTAACTGCTCTGCGTCGCACTCTCGAACCGTCCAGGCAAAAGTCCTAATCGGACCCAAGACAGGGAGAACAAGGCAAGCAAAAAGTTCGACACCGCCGGCACACACAAACAGCCGTGGGAAAAAACCAGCTAGGGATTACCCTAGAAAGACCGACCGAGCCAGAAATCGTCCCCTGAAGGGAGCAATTTCGCCGGAATAACAACACCCAGAAACCCTGGGAAAAACAGCGCCCAGAAGACCTGGGAAAATTCTTACGAA